AGTGTGAATCCTTTCACCATGCTATCTGCTGTTCTCAATCTGTTCAGTCCTCTGCTCTCTGCTCTCCCTATCCCTCTCACGTCATCTCTCCATTCCTACCCAGGTCCTAGCCTGTCCTATCCTCGTCCTAAACTAGTTCTTGCTAAGCTATCCTATGATATCCCATCCACTCTGCAATCTCCTGTCTGCACATCCTCTAATTTCCTGTCCACCTAGGCTACCAGAGTCGCCCGGGGCAAGTTGCCCAGCCGGGCAAAAAAGAAAAAATATTTTTTATTTCAAATTTGGTAAAGAATTTTGATATCACCCTGAGGCAAAAATTGTTCAGTTTATTTTTGTGCAGCACAATTTTTTTCAGGTTTGTGCTGGTCCCTTCCCTGGTCCTCGCACAGCCCTGCCACCCGGTCAAACAAGGTGATCCGGCCCGCCCAGCTGGTAGCCCAGCTGTCTACTATTACGAAAAACAAAAACAAAAAATCGTGTCTCCTCATACTCCAGTTTGCTGTTTATTTCCCTCCTATTATCTCCGGTGCTATAGGATGCTATAATATCCTAACCATCCCATCTTATGGCATCCCAATAGATGCTATCCTCACCTATTCCATCCTACGATATCGTATCATATCCCAACTTCCACGGTTCCACGTGCTCTGTTATTCTTATTTCAACCGTCAGTACCCTGGCCAGCGACCCCGCCCCTGTGCGCACCCGCCGGAGTAGTACAAAAGAAGTTCTGCCTGGTGAACCAAAAAAGGTGGCAGCGCACAGTAGGCCCTTGCCGGCGACGGTTCGCTTCGGAAATTTAGGGCCAGGCAAAGTCACATATGGGAAAGAAGAGACTCAGGGGTACGGGTAATTTATCCTGTTCTAGTCCTACCCTACTCTATTGAACTGCTGGTCTTTGTTCCAATCATGGGCCCTGCACAGGTATACAAGGGGGGGGTTGTGAGGTTCAACCTAGCAGCAGCCCATCCAAGGGGGGTTGATGGTCCTGACAAGCAGAACTCTTCGCCGATTCGGCAGAGGTTAACGTCGGGCAGGCAAAAGGTTCGCCAAAGTGGGGTCGGGATGAATGGGGGCTTGAACCTATCCTATTTCATCCCATCCTCGGGATGAATGGCGGGCCTTGAGCCTATCCTATTTCATCCCATCCTATCATATCCTATTCTATCTTATCTTATCCTACACTATTCTAATCCCACCTTGTTCCCTTTTTTGTCTTTCTTTTCCTTTTTTTTCTCTCTTTCTTGAAAGGGCGATGACCTCCAGATATCATCGTGAAACTGACCGACCCCAGGTAATTGCAAAAATCATTCCACTAGGTAGTTCCCTGTGGATTCAAGCTCACATCTGCATTTCAACAGAGTCCATTCGCGCACCAACTGGGCTAGGCCCTTGGGTTCGTCCTATCCTTTCGCGTCATCCTGCGCACTATTACATCCTATACCAGCAGTCTATCCTAATTTATTTTGGGATGAAGGACATAGATAGCCCTTTCGAAAACAACGGAAGTACAAAACAAGCCGGTCAGAGTGCAGCTGGGCAACCTGCACGTCCGGGTTCATTCTGACGAGGCTAGTGTTTTACCACTGTGAACCAGAGTGTCCCCTTCATTTACCTTCCCCTTTAATTCTTCCAGACACTGCCGCACTGCAATTCGGTCACAGCTGGTGACAGGTCTGCATTACATCGAACCCCCCCCTAAAAAAAAAAAAAAAAAAAAAAAAGGCGTCACAGGTCCACCAGCACACTCGCATACACCTCCATGTCATGTCAAGCAAAAAAGGAAAAAAAGGAAAAAAGAAAAGGACCAAAAGGTAGGTAAAACATGGCACAAAGGGCAACTGTAAAATTCACAAGTCTAAAAAGAAGCAAATTTTCAGCAAGGGCAAAATGAAAAGAACCCCTTGTAGGGTCTACGCAGAGGGGTAATTGCAAAATCACAAATCTAGAGAGCAGTCTTTCAGAAAGGTGAAGCGAAGAGAAATCTCCTGTAGAGTCGGTGTAGAACTCATCTCCTTCTTATTCGATGGATCGTTCCAAATTAAACAATATAAAATACACAACACATTGTCATAAATACCAAGATGGATCCCAAAAAAATAAAAAATAAAATAAAAATTACCAAGATGGATATCAACTTCTTGAAGTAGTGAACATAACCATGGGGGAGATGAAGCCAAAAGGATCTCCTGTGGACTGATACCACGCAGATCCTTTTGCGATTTGGAGAAAGTAAATAAACATAACGAAGGAATACCAGGCCGAATACGTCAACGCTCGCCCAGCGCCCAGCATGGGCAAGGTGCCCGTCAAGTTTTAACCGATTACCACCGCCGACTATCTATGAACGTGTTCCCACATCAAGCAAAGTCTCATCGCACAAGGGACAAGACGCCGTAGCGAGATCCCATCTTGAATGGGACCCGAGTTCCCACATTTATCCCTGCAAATGATAGATTGGACCCAAATTAGGACCCCAAATCACTTGCCTTGGGACCCAAAACGGGACTCAAAATGGGTCCCAGGGTCCCATATTGGTACCCACTCGGGTCAGAAGAGGATCCCATCTTGAACGGCACGCCCAAAATGAGGCCCAAGCTCGGCCCAAGCTCGCAGCTAGCGAAGTCCCATGGGCAGGGTGCCTTTCAACCTATTGTCTACACACAGACCATCCCAAAGCAGCATGGGTAGCATGCCCTTTTTCTAACCTATTTTCTATTATTAACAGGCCATCAACCAGCTGCATCAGCACAACCCCTCCACAACCAACACTATACCTCCTCCCTATTTGTCCAATCGAGGGAGGCATTCTGACATAGGTTAAAGGCTGAAGGCGTTGATAAATGCTCTCCCTCTCTTAACAGGGTTTGCACCTCCAAAAAAAAAACAAGAAGAAGAAGAAGAAGAAGAAACATAGACAGACGCCTACCCTAGAACCGATCCAGGCCCACAGGAAGGCTAGGTAAGGGTACCTACCCTCCGGGAATGACCAGGTTCATTTTTGTCCTCCAGGTGAACAGGCCCATTACTGCTGCTAATGGTCCCAGGCTGTCAGCTAAAGACTCATAATAATACCTACCTACCTACCTACCTACCTACCTACCTACCTAGCTACCTACCTACCCATCTACCTATCTACCTATCTACCTATCTACCTAAGGGCCAAGACCTGCCACAGGTAGCAAGGGCTTGAAGCAAAGAGGTGACTTATTGCGCACTAGGAAAAAAACATTCCCTGCCCAGTGATACGGGATGGCCAAAGAAGCACTAGAAACTTCTAGCACAGATTTGGGGGGAAGTTACCCAACTCTAGAAGTTATGTAACACTGGAAATGTCCATGAGTGAAGCCGGTCCCATTCCGGGCCCAGGGAAGCAAGTCCCATTCCAGGCCAAGTGAAGTCAGTCCCATTCTGGGCCCAGTGCAGCTAGTCCCATTATGGGCCCAGTGAAGCCAGTCCCATTCCCCGCACAGTGAAGCTGCTGGCATTTCGGGACCATGAATGAGAGCTGATACTGGGAAGTTTGGTGGGGGGGGGGGGGTTAGGTAGGTAGGTAGGTAGGGCAGGCAAATTGAGCGAAAGCAGCTACTTCACTTGACCCAGGAATGGCCAGTCAGTGACATGGACAAAATCTGCACCCGTTTCGACCTAATCTTGCAGACCTGATGTATACTTTACAACAGTGAGTGGACCAATCTCCAGCAGACTCGAACCTTCGACATCCTAGCAAAGGGGAAAGTTTTCCCAAAACAAAAAAAAACAAAAAAAAACAAAAAGTGGGAAACGAACGAGCCACGAAGTCTTTTTCTGGCTACTAGGAGAGCAGGCACGAATAGACTGGAGCATTTTGTCCCTCATGCGAGTACGCGCCCTCAATCCCCGCCCCGTCAAAAACGTTGATGTGATGACGGGAAAATAATAAACAATGACGAATAACGACACTGAAGGGCTCGGTGGACTGAGGACCTGCCCACACTACGGTAGCTCTGTCTGAAATGTACCTGACCGAATTTACGGCATAAATAAGTAAAAGAGTCCTCGTCTGAGTAGTATGCCTGCACCTGGTCTCCGGCCCACATGACATGATGATTGGTTTCCGGCCTACGAAGCAGAGCCGTTGAAACCCGTCGAAAACGGATTTCAGGGCGTGCTCACACTGCCAATTTTCAAAATGCATCCGACTGTAATAACGGCCAGCTTGATGAATCCGACGGCAATCACGTCCAGAGCTTGATGAATCCGACGGCAATCACGTCCAGAGCCTTGTGAAAAAAGGTAACAGTGTGAGTCCGCCCTCAGATTTCGCCGAGATTCCATCAGAGCAGTCCGATACAAGAAGCCTACCTAGCTCAGCTGGTAGGTACGTCCTTGGACTGTTTGAATACAGACCAGAGTTCGAATCCAGACGGAACCAGATGAACAGAAGAAAAAGAGAGAAACCGACCGCAGTTCATGTATGGATCAGGGGTCAGCAACGGGGTTTCTGAATCCCTGCTGTGGTAGTAATAAGATCTGCGCCTGCCAGCCTGCCTCCTCCTTGTGGGTTTGTTCAGATCAAATTCAATGGTGAAATGTCGTTCTTGCCTCTCTCTCTCTCTCTCTCTCTCTCTCTCTCTCTCTCTCTCTCTCTCTCTCCAGGCTCTGAACACGTGCTAGTAGTAATGGAATATCAGCCTGCCAGCCCGCCTTTCTTCTTGTGAATTTCTTCAGACCAANCTCTCTCTCTCTCTCTCTCTCTCTCTCTCTCTCTCTCTCTCTCTCTCTCTCTCTCTCTCTCTCTCTATCTATCTATCTATCTATCTTCCCCCCGCAATCGGCTGTGCTGGGACTGCGGTCGCCATCTTGAAGAGAGCGCAGATCTCCCATCTTCCTGTTTTCCATACGCTGCAGCAATGCAAAGAGATACCGACCGCAGATCATGTAGGGATCGGAGGTTCGAAGGCTTCTGCTAATCACCATGCACAGCAGTTCGTAATGGAATCTCAGCCTTCCTTCCTTCCTTCTCGTTTAATTTGTTCAGATCAATTCAATGTTGGCTCTTCTTGCCTCTCCCTACCGGCTGCTGCTGCTGCTGCTGCTGCCGCTGGGATCCCAATCGTCGTCACTAGTCATCTCGAGCACGATTCTCCCATCTTCCTCCTTTCCGTACTTCCAATACCAAGTTGGTCGCCGCCGACATTCCTCCTCCTCGTCCTCCTCCTCCTCATCCTCATCATCACCAGTGGCCAAGGATATGTTGTCCTCCACCTCGCCGTCTGCTTGTTCGTGTTTCCTCTCCTCCTCCCCTTTCTTCTCCATAATCGCTTGGTATCCCGATCCCGACTCTGCGTGGTCCCCACTCGGTACAAGCCGCAACCTATGGCCGTCCGGCACCTCGAAGGTGTGCTGCCCGGTTATTGTCACATCACTGGCGTCGAACTCCGCGTCCCCATGGAGAATCACCTGCACACTCTCGTATCGTGCCACTCTGTGCTGCCAGTAGACGTTCTCCGGCCGCCACGTCACCCCCCTGTTGATTACCTTGACCCTCCTAAGCCTGCACCTCCCACACCTCCTTCCGTACCTCAAGACCGATTCCCCGTCCTTGACCACCATCTCGCCCATCACGTTCTTCGCCTGCACTCTGAGACTTCCGTCGAGTTCCACCTCCTCCATAGCCAGCTCCGCTATGTCGAGACACAACTCCGATCCCTTCGTCATGGCCCCCCCCCGGATCTTCTGCCTGATTATGTCCCATAACGGTCCCAAGGCCGGATGATAAAGGACGAGAAACGGTGGGCCGTGGGTCAGGTACTCGTCCTTGGGACTCATCAAGGGCATCGACATCCCACAAGACGTCAGGACTTCCCGCGCGTTCCTCATCAAGTCGTAGAAGGACCCGTCGGGCGTCTGGTGGATGTTCAGATCGCCCGGTTTGCGTTTTCTCTTCGCGGATGATGTGACCTTCTGCCTCGAGTTGAATAAAACAAAGGTGTCGAGATCCCGATGCCGTTCGGGCGGCAGTCGGGACGCGGACCGGTGCACCAGGCTGTCGGCAATATTCTGCATCGTGCATTCCAGTCTGCCGCCGCGCACGCTGCGCTCCCGACCGTTGGTGTCCACGTACAAGATGGGCTTTTTCAAATTGATGATGATTCCGGGAAGCGCGGCCAGGCCGCCACGTGTCACGACCTCCTTAACCGCTTCCAGGTTGGCGTACAACACGTTGGTATTGGCGGGAAACTTGGCCTGCGGGCTGCCGTCTTCGAGGGGTTTGTCGGCGATCCCAAGGACATCGAATTGCGTGTACTCGACATTGCTCACGCTGTACTCCCACATCCCGATCCCGTCCGCTCCCGGCCGGTTGGTCTCGATCAGCACGTTCACCCCTTCTGCGGACCCCACATTGCGCTCGCACGACATGAATCCAAACTTCTTCTCCCCCTTGAGTCCCACGCCGGACAGGGCAAGGAGAGTGTCATCGGTTCCCGCCAAAGGATTGCTGATTTGGCGCAAGATGGCAGATTGCCGCCGGCGCGCGCCGAACCAATCAAACACCCCCTCGTCTAATGCCAGCTTCCAGAGCGCACCGTGGCCTCCTGGCTTTAACAGGACCTGAAGAGGCCCGATCACAATCCACTTGCCGTCATCCAAGCTCACCACGGGGACCAATGGCTGCTCAAACAGGCGGAAATTACCTTGACCACGGCCAAACCACTGATTCTGCTTGCAGATGGTGGTTACGTGCCTGTGGTTGTTCTTGGCAGCGCTAGTCATTATCGCTACTGGCGTAATGCATTGCTCGCCGTGGATGTTGTAGTAAAGATACTCTCGCGCCTGGAGATCCCTAATTAGCCCTTCGAGAAGCGAGCGGCCACAATAATTAAGGCTAGCAACAGGAAGGCATTCTCCTGTGAAATCATCGACCAAGCCTAAGCGATCCCCAGCACCTCCAAGAGGGTAAATTTCCCCCATTTGGGGCATACCCTCCAGTCCCCAAGAGGCCGCCTGTCTAGCAAACCCGTCTTCCTTCGACAAATCCACTCCTGCAGGTACGTGGAACCTGGTCGTGATGGGACTCTCCCCTCCTACTCTAGCTGATCCGTTCTGCTCCCGCGCATTTCCATTCACGACGATCTTCTTGTTCCCGGGCTCAGAAGGAGCAAAAGAAGCAGCAGCAGCAGCAGAAGAAGAAGAAGCAGCAAAAGAAGCAGCAGCAGCAGCAGCAGCAGCAGCAGAAGAAGAAGAAGAAGAAGAAGAAGAAGAAGAATGGATGTCATTGTCATCCGAAATCGGCGGGAAAGTGCGCTGCCACCCAAGATTGTTCTGGTGGTCCCCATCGACATTGCCATTCCCGGGTAGAGATGTGGACACTCCGCCCCGTTGATTCAGTCCTCCTCCTCCTTTTCCCCTCTCAGCTCGGTCCTGGACCAGATGTTCCATCTCATGATCCCTTATCAGTTCCAAGATCAACAGCTGGTACCCGATTATCCCACCAATTGAGTCGTAAAACTGTTCAATGCGGCTTTGGGAGGCCAAGAGTTCCTTGAAATCGCGCTTGAAATCCTCAAAAGCGTTGATCTCGTGACCTTGGACGCAAAACCCTTCATCTGTTCGCGAAGGGCCCTTCGCTCTCTCTCTCACGATTGTTGTCCTAACTCCTCCCCCTCCTCCTCCTCCTCTTCCTCCTTCTGGCTTACTTCTTTTCATGTCCTTTCTCTCATCGGTCCTCGAGACCAAATCAATCATCTTGGCAATCTGTCCAAGGGCTCCCTTGATGACGCTTTTCGACGATAATGACGACGCAGCCATAGCCTGAATCTCTTTCCACCCTCCTACATCTCCACCGGGAAAACCGTTGATCTGCCATCCTCCGCCCTGCACCGACTCTTCATACGCCTCTGCGGCACCCGACTCATCCTTCTCGATCTTGTTGTTGTTCTCTTGCTGCTGACGATGGTCAATTGGATAGGGAGAAGGAGGAGAAAGAGGAGAAAGAGGAGAAGGAGGAGGAGGAGGAGAAGGAGGAGGGTGGGGAGGATACAGAAGAGGAGTATGGTCCCATTCAAGCGATACGTCCAACACATGCCCTTGGCCCGCGGCTATGAGGGATTTGAGGATCGTGAGCTCTGATTGATCTAGCAACGCACGACACAATGCCGCGCACTGTCGAGTGCGTGCCCTACTCTCGGCCTCCCTCCCTCTCCCATTCTCTCCCTCGCCCTCTTCCTCCTCCAACCCGAACACCGCTTGCACTCGTCGATCGTCATCGAGGATTTCTATCTTCTCCTCCATACTTCGGGCTAGCGATAGAGTCCCGCGAAGAGCTCGCAGCCGTTCGATCTCCTCGTCAAATCTGTGCACCCGCTGGTCCAAGCTATCTCTAGCGACAGATTGGCGCGCAGTGCGCGCCGCCGCCTGATCCGTTAGATCTTCACTCCTTTCGAGATTCGTTGCAAGTCCAGCGGCCCCTGATGACGATGGCGCGATGGCGAAGCGAGGGGCGACTGCGGAGAATCGCCGCGTAGAGGCGCGGGAAGGGGAGAGGGGGGAGGAGGAGGAGGAGGAGGAAGAGGCCCCTGATGACGATGGCGCGATAGCGAAGCGAGGGGCGACTGCGGAGAATCGCCCAGTAGAGACGCGGGAAGGGGAGAGGGGGGAGGAGGAGGAGGAGGAGGAGGAGGAGGAGGAAGAGGAAGAGGAAGAGGGAAACGAGTAGGAGGCCCCGGAAGCTGATAAAGCGGTGGCAATGCAAGGGGAGTTAGTCGACCGCGATAATAAATAAGGTCCCGACAACGAAGACGGCGATGATGAAAGCCTGGGAACGAGGTAGGAGAAGTTATAGGAAGAGGGGGAGGAGGAGGAGGAAAGGGAGGAGGAGGAGGAGGAAGGGGGGGAGGAGGAGGAGAGCCTTCTTGATGCTGGTAAAGGAGCGGCATTGCAAGAACAGTCGGATGACAGCGGCACGGACGAGGCCGACAACGAAGAGAAGGATAATGCAAGCATAGGGACCGAGGAGGAGGAGGAGGAGGAGGAGGAGGAGGAGGAGGAGGAGGAGGACAAAGAGGAGGAACGGGCGGAGGAGGAGGAGAAGATGGATTGCAACAACCTCTCGGGAGGTAATCTTGATCGCCAAGGTGTTGAAGAAGAAGGAGACGATGGATGTGTGAATGGTAGAGGAGGTATGCGGCGCTTACGTGACGCCAGAATACAACTAGACCGGGGACACTCTAGCACCCCCCTGGTCGTCCCTCCACGTGGCCTCCTCCTGTTTGATTGCCAATCAATTGCTTCTCGAGACGAGCAGTGATCAACTCGCAAGAATGCACGTGGCCACGTGCGAGTGACACACGTGTCGACTCGCCGCCGTTCCACGTGGCCTCCTCCTTTGCGAACATCACGCCAAGCTCTGGGTTTGCCAGAGGGAAGCACAGGTCGCCCGCTGGGAGAAACGTCCGCTGCGGCTCCGCAGCGACGGTGGCCATAGCCGCCAGATTCTCGGAAAAGGCGAAAGCCAGCGTGGCAGCGCAATGGGAAATGATGGGCAGAATGACACGTGTCGCCCGGCAAATGTGCCTTGATGAACGCCCGCCTAAAGTCTCCTCCCTCGCCGTGCAACGCGTCAGATCTACATCTACCCTGCAAACCCAACTCCATATCCATATCCCTCTTCTCTCCGGTCCGTAGCATGCTGCTACACCACCACCTCCCCCCTCCTACCCCCAATGACCCCATTACCCCTCCAATTGTCTCTGCTCCCGCAACCGCCATCCTCTCTCTCTCTCTCTCTCTCTCTCTCTCTCTCTCTCTCTCTCTCTCTCTCTCTCTCTCTCTCTCTCTCTCNCACACACACACACACACACACACACACACACACACAGCGAGCAGAGAGAGAGAGATTGTTGGTGTGAGAATAGCTGGCCGGCTAACCTTAGAGGAGATTGTTGGTGTGAGAATAGGTGGACGGCTAACCTTAGAGGAGATGGTGCGTGTGGAGACGTCGACCAATCAATCGACGCGTAGCAGAGCGAGCATCCCATCCACGTTCAACGGTCTTACCTGACCTGACGGTAGTGGCATTCATAGACGTGCCTTTTCTGTTTACTTTGTGCTTCGCACCAAAGATACGACGAAATGCACACCACGTCCACTGTCCCTCACATCTTGCTATCTCCACATTACCTTGCCGTCGAAGCAACACTCGTTGCCGGACCAAGTGCGTGCAAAACACAACCCATCAATACAACCCGTCATCGTCTGCCACCTACCGGTAGTGGTGTGGGGGGTACCCATGCTCCCAGCATTGCCCATCGTGGCACATGCTGTCCAATCTGAGACTCGGGTGGGATGGCCCACCATCAACATTCTCCATTCTCCAAACATTCTCCATTCTCCATTCTCTGCCTGGTTTCTCACGCAGAGGAGGAGAGGAGGAGGAGGAGCAGCACGCCGCGTGACATGCGGCCGACGCTGTCACGACCGGGCGGGGTACGTTATCTCGCACTTCTCCGACGATCCCTTCCCATCCGTCTCCCACCAGTAGTGTTCCTGTGGATTTTGTTTTTGAATACGAAAGTCAGTAGGCCTTCTTTCTCTCCCTTTTTTTTTGTTTTTTTTTTGGTTGTGTTTTGTTTTTTTTTCTTCTTTTTGAAAAGGGGAACGTCTATTGTATACTGACCGTGGGGGCAAGCCCCACATACACCGTTGAGCCAGTTCAACGTTGAAGTTACGTTGAACTAGCTCAACGTGTGTGACCCCACGCGACGTCTGAGATGCATCGGGAGCTGCACATCCAGCGGTTGTTCTTAGGTGCATAAAATAATACAAAGACTTTCGTTTTTGTTTTTTGGTTCAAGAAAAAAAAAAAAAAAAGAAAGGTGCTGAAAAATCCCTCCGCCCCAATATAACGCCCCCTACCCTGCCCATCTTCCGTTGAACTACATACCCCACTTCGAGTGGGGTATGGGTTCAACGGTGCTTGTGCCATTTTCTACCGGTTGGCCATCTCATTTTCTGGATTCGAACCTGGGCCTGTCTTTCAACAGTTCATTCGTGTACCAACTTCATTTTTTTTTATTTTTTATTTTTTTTTTAGTGTACCAGCTGAGCTAGTTCAACTCTGTTTTTGAACCCGAAAACCGATCCACTGCCCGGCGTCGTTCCCCGAACACAACGCAACCTCACTATGGGTATGCCGAACCCGAAAGATAGCTTATACACATCCGTTTTTTCTTTTTTTTTTCCTTTTTTTAAATTCTTATTAGAAGGGCCCTGTGCTTATACACATTCAATATGGGGGTTCGTTGCGTTCGGGGGAAGAGAGTGGTCCGGTCAGTTCGACCGACGAAGAAAGCTATCTCAAGGCCGTCGCCCTTCTTTTCGCTAAATTTGTAGTGTAGCCCTGGATGTGGGGTTTGCAGTATACATTGGGATTGTCGCTCTCTGTAAACTTTTAAATGATGTGAGGGAGACCGACCCGTTTTCCGGCCTGTGTCCGGCCTGTGGAATTCAAAAGCGGCCATCGTATGAAGCAGGCCGGAGTGTCTGAATCATACGGCACTGGCTGTTCTTCGATTAAAAAAAAAAAAAAAAAAAAAAAAAAAACAGTTGGACGAAGAAAGATATCTCAAGGCCGTCGCCCTTCGTACAAAAAAAATAAAGGAGGAGGAAAATAAGAAGAAGAGAGGCACACAGAGTACGACGAGAACTTCGGATGCAATACGTTTCTCGGCCTTTTGGCTAGATCAAGTGTACCTTTCTCGGCCTTTGGGCTAAGATCAAGTGTACCTTTCTCTGCCTTTGGGCTAATATCAAGTGTACCTTTCTAGGCCTTTGGGCTATAACATCAAGTGTAGCATCTGTTCTGATCAGTTTAATATCTGATCTGTGGTGGATGGGACCACAACGATGTTAAATTAACTTTTTCAGGCCATGGAGGGGTCCAATGGGTAAGCTTGCTTGCTGGATCCTTCCAGCTTTGCCTCGGTATAGCACTGCGGCAGCAGGGTGCGGCGCAGCCCTCAAACAAACACCAACAACAAAAGAAAATGAAGATAAAGTGTAGAGGCAGAGGCAGACGGCAGAAACCCCTGGAACGAAGAGCACATAGACAGCATGCAGGATGTGACCACGAAGCAAGACGAGAAAGGCAAGGTGGAGCGAGGTTTGAAAGCTCGCGGATTGATATCGATAGAACACATCAAAACACAGCCCTGCATCCGCATATGTCTCCCTCTCTCATCATCTCCTCCCTTCTAATCCCATCCCCCGTAGTCCTCTGTCCCGACACCGTCATCAGCACACAATCTTCAAGAACGCAGCATCCCGCTTCACCCGCCCATGCCAACGGAATCCTCAGGAGGGTGAACACTGCTCAGCCCTTCTGGGGCGTGGTCCCATTAGCAGTCGGATAGGAGTGTGGCCTATCCAGGTGACACTGAGTGGCAGCAGCCTGACAGGTTCATTACGAATTTCTGGGCTAGGAAAACCGGAGAAAGGCAAAAAAAAAAAAACAGAAACAGAGACCTGCCACCAGAAATCGCGGCAGAGTGCTTCCCAGCCATCAGATCACAGATGATCTGATGGTGGTGGTTTCAACAACAGTGAACAAGTAACTGCCACTTTTTTTCTGGAATAAAGGGCCTCGTTAGACACTCCTTACGAATTCCTTGCGCCACAAGGAATTTTCCTTGTGGCTCGTAAGGGAATTTGGGCTCTTCGTTCCACCTGTCCTTGGGGACATCGCCCGAGGACATTTCCTAAGACTGATGTCAGAAGAAAAAAAAAAAGGAAAAAAAAACGCTTCAGGCCTTCAGCCAATAGGGTGCCGCCACGATCCAGATTCTCAGCTGTAACGTCTATCTACCCGTGTGCCCTCTCCTCTCCGTGAAACGCGGATTCCTTGTGCCCAAGGGACCTCGTGAGGTCCCCTGGGCACAAGGAAGAAATGGCTGGGGCCACAAGGATGCCACAAGGAATTTTCCTTGTGGCCTTTTCACATTTCGTTTTCAATTTCGTCCCCAAGGACAGGTGGAACGAGCATGTCCTTGTGGATTTCACGTCCCCAAGGAGTGTCTAACGAGGCCCAAGCTCGACTTCTGTCAGCAGTGATCCAGACACCCTCCATATACTCCGTGATTGAAGGAGGGCTCCACCCACCCAATGAGATAATTGCACAACAGCAAGTAAAATACTGAAAATCTTCTATCCAGTGGGCCTATGGCTGACCCCACCCTCTTTTGGGGTTGGCCACACCCCCAACCGATTGAGAAGATTCTGGCGGGAAGCTTTCTTTGCACGGGCATGCCCAGTGTTAAGGAGAGGAGGAAGGGAACAAAGATCTCCTTACTTTTTTGGGTAATACATGTAAAATACTGACCGTGGGATCACAAGTACTGCACGGCAGGATTTGGGTCACTCAACTGTCCCACAAACTCGTTTCTATCCTATCCGGTTGCTAGTGGGACCATGCTCCTGTAGATCTGAGAGACGGGTCTGCTCTTATCACCTCGTAAGTGGGCTTCCCCACATACGAAGTTTTCTATTAAAAAAATAAATAAAAAAATGAAAAGATGGTTGCCTTGCCAAGGGCGACATGGTTATGGTCAAAGGAGACAGTTTGCCCCCTGACCTTTTCTTTTTTTTTCCTTCTTTTTATTTTTTATTATTTTTTATTTAAAAGCTTACCATCCCATTCTGCCGGAAACCGGGTCCGGCGTCCCTTACATTTATGCCATGGTCTGCTGGGCTGGGCAAGGCACTCCCGACCAAACCCATCCCTACCACAGCAAAAAGACCTGTCTTGGGTGGTTAGTCGGAAAAAAAAAAAAAAAAAAAAAAAA